GGGTAATTAACTAATTTCCCGATATTGAATATAAAATTCAGGATTATATACAACCAGAGATAATCAAGTAATTTACACATTTATTCTGAAATTAAGCTCTTTACAATATTAATTATTACAGATTAATTCTATCGGACATTTACATTCAATGATCAATTAATTTTATTTTGATAAGTATACTCTTCACGCCTTTTAGACATTCTTTGATTTCATTTGTTGTCCTCGATTCTAGATCCAATCGTATCTAACTAATAAAAACTATGAAAGTACGTTTTGTACATGTTTTATACATAAAGCATTATTGTACAATTCTTTAACACCTTACTCAAAACAAAATACATGTTATTTAGTAGATTTAAAAGCTAAGAAAGTAGTGAAAGAAATCAGGCGATCAAAATTGATCGCTAGTAAATTAAACAGAGATAATTCCAGCACTGTTTTAATCAAAACTTATTAATCACAGTACTTCTTTTTATGAAATCTGAAAAACACCGAATATTCGAATCTTTAATTCATATTCGAATATCAACTCATCGAATAAATATTCGAATGTTCGAATATTCGTTGCCATCCCTAGTTTTCACTGATGAGGCTTAAGAAATACTGTCTTTTCTTTGCCAACACATAATACCATAATTAATCTTTATCTTAAACCGTGTAAAACTTTAGTAAAATTTGCTCATATTTTGAATACCCAGTACCCATGATTTTGAAGGTGAAACAGTTTACATCTAATTCCAGGGATTTAAAAACTAAGAACATGCTCATGCTCATCTAAACTTCAATGTGTATATGTCTTTGGAAAAAAAACAAACTCAATTGACAAAACATGTTAGATATTCTTGAAATGGTATTATCTTTCCTTCTCTTTTACATAAGGAGGACTAACAGTAAATAGAATCATAACTTAGAATAGTCACTAAATATATTTCAAACCCAAGACTGTTAAAGGGATCTTTGGTGTCTTGGGAGTTGGAATACTTCAAAACATTTACATAGTATGGTAGTTGCATGGACCATAATTTATAATACCAAGTGAACAAAAAGGTATCATTAGTTATTCTTAATCAGGGGCGTAGCTAGAACATTGATGAAGTATAGGCACAAATTACCTTGTGTATGGCGAGGGGTCTGGGGGCTGCTTAAGGCCCCCAGCGGGTCCAGGGCAGCGCCCTGGTAGGGGGTTCAGGAGGGCAAAGCCCCCCGACGGAAAATGGATTTCACGATTTTGAGACCCCTGGGTGACAAATTCAGAAAATACAAATTTCTGGGTCTCTTTAGAATGAAGTGCAGTCCAACCTTTTAACTAGAAATCTTTTTGTTAAGAGTTCTCAGCGTCATCAAATTTAGAACATGAAGAAGAAAGTTATTAAAAAGTATTCAAAAATAATAAGACACAAAGCAATGTTTTACAATAAATATTCAGCAAATATTTTTTTTCAGAAAAAAAGCTAGTCTACCCACAAAGAAGTGGTAAATTCTGGTGGACAGCCATAAAAAAGTTAATTGCTGATAATTCAAATTAATTAATTATTTATTAAATGAAAATTAATACCACACATAACATCTCTTATGAGCGTCAGGGGAGTTTTATATCTATATTTAATTACATGTACTAGCATATAGAAATTTTCAAGACATTTTATAAGAAGTCCTACAGTAAAACAGTCGGTTAACTATTGCAGGTTATTATTACTTTGCATAGATCCGACGGTGGTTATTTATACGTTCATGATCTCTCTAGCAATGGCAAAATTATATTTATAGTCATTTATTTTCTTTTTTATCTGCAGCTACTCTAAATTCATAAATCTAAAGATTTTGAATTATCTAAGTTTTTTTTTATGCCCCCGTATCGAAGATTCGGGGGTATATAGTTTTTGCCCTGTCCATCCATCTGTCTGTTGGTCTGTTTGTCTGTTTGTATGCAAAAACTTTAACCTTGCTCATAACTTTTGATTAGTTGGAGCTATGGCTTTCATATTTCACATGTTTATTCCTTGTGACAAGACCTTTCTCTGGGTATCACCATATTTGACCTTTTGACCTTGACCTTGGAGTTTGACCCAGTTTTGCAAAATTTTACCAAACTTTAATCTTGGCCATAACTTTTGAACAATTGGTGCTAGGGCTTTCATACTTCACACGTGTAATCCTTGTGACAAGACCTTCCTTAGAATACCAACAACTTTGACCTTTTGACCTTGACCTAGGAGTTTGACCTACTTTTGAAAAACTGTAACCTTGGACATAGCTTTTGTATGATTGGTGCTAAGGCTTTCATACTTCACATGTGTCTTCGGGTACTGATGAGATGTTATTGGTTTTGTCATTTGGTAAAATATTGCAAAGTTGGGAATGTCTACTTTCTCTCTGCTGACATTGAACAAAAGCTATATGTACTTGAATATCATCATTTCATGCCATTTTTTTTAAAATCTTAGATGAAAGCATGCTAACTGTTTTCAGTTCTTTCAGTACTTTAATTTTCCTTGGCTGGTCACTAAATTTAATTGAATCTACCTATATGTGAAAGGAGAAAATTGTACCAAAATATGCTCAAATGTTGTGTTTAAAACATTATATTTACATTTGCAAATGTTTTCTTTTATATAACACTATCAAAAGCAACGCGTATCTATATCCGTATAAACACGGGTTCCTAGCATCATAAATGTTCGACGTAATTTCTCAGTGACGTCATAAAGGGTCGACGCACAATCAATGGATCAAATACGTGCCGTTGAGTTTGAAAAATAAATCATTTCACACGTTAAAGATTAAATCAGAAAAATATAAAACATGAATAAGTCATAAATATAAATATAAGTAATAATGTATCATTTTTAAGCATCTATTGGGATATAAATATGGATTGGTACGAGATCAAATTTACCATGAAGCCCTTTGGGCTTTATGGAATTTGATCTTGTAACCAACCCGTATTTATATCCCGATAGATTTTTAAAAATGGTACATTATTTCTTAATTAATATCTAGCTGGCCTTTCCCATTATGAACAGAATGAGGAAAGTATTTTTTCTGACATTAGAAAAAATTCATATGCTAATTGAGGCACCCATGTGACTTTCTTACTGACCAGTCAGCTAAATGAGTTGCATTATGAATGAGTACTATAAAAAATACTAGGGAATTTTAATGCTTGAAACATGGCATTCTTTTACTTGCTTTCTGAAAGGCAATTTTATATGCATATCATTCACAAATTAAATACGAATCTACAATTTCCATGCTCACAATTACAAACAATTGATATATATGCATATATATTGTACATTTTTTTAGTTTTGTAAGGGGATTAGTGGACAATTGCATTTCTACATGTATTCCCGATTACCATTGAATACAAACTTCATGTGCAGTGCTTGGTCCAAAACGATAGACGCTGGTTCCATGCATATTGTTATGCATAAAAGGCTTTTGTTGACCATTTAAAGTTTGAAATGTATTAGAAATAATGTGTAAATTGACCTAAACCAGGTGACTGTGATAAAATATAAACATCTTGTAAACCAGCATGTTTTATCATTCAGTCATTGGATTGGACAATTGTTCTCTGTAAGCGACCGTCTATTCTATTTATATTTATTCATAAAAGAGCATTTGGTCACAAACCAGGCTGAATTTTGATGTCATAGGGTCGAAAAATTCATAGATAATGCAGTATTCTTCAAAATTATAAACAATACATGCTATCGACACTATTCAGAAGGTGTCATTATCCTTCACTCTTGTTTTAAAATAACCAGAATGATTGTAGATTTATTATAATTCATCGTAAAAAAAAAAGGGGCCCCAGACCATAATTATGGCAATTCATCCTTTTTCTTCTCAAGATATGCAAAGTTATGATTAGTCATATTTATATAGAAGCATCCTTATGCAGTGTAGATTGAAGGTTATTCAAATCACGACCCCCTGGAGTAGTGTGGGGCCACTATGAGTTTTAAATAGGAATACAAAGTGAAAATCTTTTAAAGTCTTCTTCTCAATGACAATCATGATTAGACATATGAAAGTGCAACCATCCTCAGGTGTTTAGATTCAAACTTTTTCCAGGCACTCTCCCATTAAGGGAGTGGGGTCACAATAAGGGATAAAAATTTTATGCAGGAACTTATAGGAATTTTCTTTAGAAATATTTTCTTCTCAAGAACAACAGAGTCATGGTTAGTCTTATTAATATGGAAACATTCTCAGATAGTGCAGATTCAGGTTTGTTCATGGCCCCTGTAGATAGGTTGAGGCCACAAGAACTGATATGATGGAGCTACAACGAAGGCACTTAAAGTTTTACAATGGTATATATTGGAAAAATCTTAAAAAAGCTTCTTCTCAAGAACAGCAAAGTCATGATCAGTCATATTTATCAAGTAGTGCAGATTCATATTTGTTCAAAGCATGACCCCAGGGGTAGGGTGGGGCAACTATGTGTGATGAAAGTTTTATGGAAAAGCCATGATCATTCATATTTATGTGGAACCATGCACAGGTAGTGTATAATAAATATAGTTCAAATCTTGACTCCCAGGGCTAGGGTGGCACCTTGATGGGGGTGATTGTTGGGGGAGGGTGTAGGGAGTTGGGAGCACTTATTTTAACTTTTTAAAACTGAACTGTTTTGATTTTCCTAGCTAAACTGCTCAGGTGAGCAATGTGGCCCATGGGCCTTTTGCAAGTTTAGCAAACCTTAGTACTGGGAAAGTTTGTTGCTTTGAACAGCATGCACAATTCATTGACTTGAAAAGAAATACACCTTAAAACAGGGATATCTCAAAAGAAGACCACCATTTGAATGACAAAATCACTCAAGCGGTCATTGAGGTTTACAATATAATAATGATATATAAAATCTTAAAAGCATCTTTTTCTTCATATAGTGGTAATTCATGTTTGTTCAACCCATGTTCTCTCAGGTTAGAATGAGGCAAGAGTACAATCTGATCATTTGACTTAGGTATGACAATTTATGTCTTCAGATACTTCTTGGGGTAAGAGACTGTCATGAAGACTTGGCAGCCCAAAGTTTACACAGCCTGGCAGACATGGTAAAGATCTTAGGAAGAGACACAGTAATTGGTGGAAAAAGTAAGGAGTACTTTACAAAGGGAACTCCAAAGGTACAGTATCATGCTTGAAATTTCCTAAGACATGTATTCCTGATCTGAAAGCTCAAGTGAGCAATTCTGATCAAAATTTGTATCATACTGATTATTCGTCTTGTTTGCTGTACAAATGCACTCTGGAGCTCATGCATTTTTGCAGCCATCTTGTGCCAATACATATTCTCCAATATAAGTTCAATAACCCTATATTATTCAAAGACCAAGAGAAATCAATAATATGGGGATTGTGCTGGGTTCACTATGTGAAGACTGTGTCACCTTTATCTTAAAGCACTATTGTCTTGGTCCATGTGGCATTTTGGAGGAAAGGTACATTCTGCTGTTATAGTGGTATATTACTATTAGTGAGATATAAAACCCAACATTTTCAGCAGTAAATATCTTCAATTTCATTTAAATAAAATGCTGGCTGTTTAAAGTACAAGTCATATTGGATATAAAAATGGAGAATTGGAATTATGAATTTTATTAAATTTTCTGATCATGCATTGAAAAATGAGAGCAAACTCTAAAATTGAAGTTACAGTTTTATTCCCCCCTCCCAACTAATTTAGGGGTTATGTTATAATCACCTTATTAGCTCACCTGAGCTTAAAGCTCAAGTGAGCTTTTCTGATCACCTGGTGTCTGGCGTCTGTCCGTCTGTCTGTCCATCCATCCGTCTGTAAACTTTTCACATTTTCAACTTCTTCTTAAGGACCACAAGACAATTTTAGCCAAAGCTGATACAAAGCAACCCTGGGTAAAGGGGATTCTAAATTGTTAAAATGAAGTGCCAAGCCCCCTTCAAAGAAGAGATAATCAAGAAAAGACAAAAAAAGGGTGGGTCATTAAAAAATCTTCTTCTCAAGAACCACAGGACCATGAAAGCCGAAACTTACGTGAAAGCTTCCTGAGGTAGTGTAAATTCTAAATTTTTTGAATCATGGCTCCCAGGGGTAGGGTGGAGCCATAATATGGAATCCAATTTTAACATTGAAATATATAGGAAAAATCTTTTAAAATTCTTCTCAGAACCACTGGGTCAGAAAAGCTGAAACTTAAGTGGAAGCATCCTGGGGAAGTGTAGATTTTAAATTGTTCAAATCATGACCCCTTGAGGTAGGGTGGGGCCACAATAGGGAATCAAGTTTTACATTGAAATATATAGAAAAAAATTTCTCAATAACCACTGGGCCAGAAAAGCTAAAATTTAAGTGGAAGCATCCTGGGGTAGTGTAGATTTTAAATTGTTCAAATCATGACCCTGGGGGTAGGGGGGGCTACAATAGGGAATTGGATTTTATCAGCTCACCTGAGCTGAAAGCTCAAGTGAGCTTTTCTGATCACCTATTGTCCATCTGTCTGTCCTTCCATCTGTCCATCCCTCCATCTGTAAACTTTTCATATTTTCAACTTCTTCTCAAAAACCACTGGGTCAATTTTAACCAAAGTTGGTACAAAGCATCCTTGGGTAAAGGGGAGTTTAAAATGTTAAAATGAAGGGCCAAGCCCACTTACAAGGGGAGATCATCAAGAAAGACAAAAATAGGGTGGGATCATTAACAATCTTCTTCTCAAGATGAATCTCCGCCACAACTGACCTAAATCGATAAAAAATAGGTAGCAACTGTTCCTTCACCAAGCGCTCAGCACTTTGAAGTGAAAGTTGTGGGTCCCTCGAATAAGACCTTAAAAACTGAGGCCCTGTGTCACAACAGGCATTGGCATGATAAAGATCCCTTACTGCTCAATGGCCTGAGTGCCGAGTAAAGGTCTAAATTTGAAGCCCTTCACCAGTGTATGGTGTAGTCTCTATATGAGTGAAAAATTCTTGAATGGGACTTAAAACAATGTCAATCTTCTCAAGAACCACTAGGCCAGAAAGCTGAAACTTATGTTGAAGCATCCTGGGTTAGTGTAGATTCTAAATTCAAATCATGACCCCTGGAGGTAGGGTGGGGCCACAATAGGGAATCAAGTTTTACATTGAAATATATTGGAAAATTTTTTAAACATGTTCTTCTCAAGAACCACTGGGCCAGAAAAGCTAAAATTTCAGTGCACGCATCCTGGGGTAGTGAAATTTTTTAGCTCTTCTGAGCCAAAGGCTCAAATTTATCACAGGGTACCCTTGGGCACAGGGGCTCATGTTTAAAGTAAAACTAGGGTTGTGACCCTTAAACAAGGGGAGGTAATTAGGTAAATAAAACCAAAAGTACTGGTTGCTAAAAAATCTTCTTCTCAAGAACCTCTGGGCAGATTATTAATAAACTTACACAAAAGGATGAGGATATGTTGAAGATTAAAAATTGTTCAAGGCATCACCCTGGGGCAAAGGGCGTGGTCTCAAGATCACTTCAAAGTTGACCAAAAATTACATTTTATTAAAATGTTGATATTTTGCTTACTGTAAGGACTAGGATCATCAAATCTTGTCAGTTGATGCATCTAAGGACCTCATATCATGTTGACTCAAAAGTACATGTAGGTCACAGTGACCTACTTTTTGAACTTTGCAGGCATTCGAGTTCAAAGCGTTTTAGAGGTATATTTTGGACATTTTAAGGCCTATGATCATAAAACTTTGTAAGTTGCTGCATCTTGGGTCCTCGAAAAAACATCAACTGAAAACTAGGTCATTGTGACCTACTTTTGAAATTTTATGACTATATTTGAATATTTTGGGTACTATTTGGCTTAGAATCATCAAACTTTGTCAGTTGATGTATCTTAGGTCTTCAAAGTAGGTTGACTTAAAAGAAGGTCACTGTGACCTACTTTTCAATTTATATGGCTATAGATTAATATTTCGGGTGCTAATTGGCTTATCATCAAACTTTGTCAGTTGGTGCATCATTGGTCCTAGGAGTAAGTCGACTGAAAAGTAGGTCACTGTGACCTACTTTTGAATATTTGTGGCTTCAATTAAATATTTCAGGTACTATTTGGCTTAGAATCATCAAACTGCGTTAGTTGATGCATCTTGGGTCCTCAGAGTACAAGAACTGAAAATTAGGTCACCGTGCCATACTTTTGAAATTTTATGGCTATATTTAAATATTTTTGGGTACTTTTTGGCTTAGAATCATCAAACTTTGTCAGTTAATGCATCTTAGGTCCTCAGAGTACGTCTACTGAAAGGTAGGTCAATGTGACCTACTTTTCAATTTACAGGGCTATAATTAAATATTTTGGGTACTAATTAGCTTAGAATCATAAAACTTTGTCAGTTGATGCATCTTTGGTCCGCGGAGTAAGTTGACTGAAAAGTAGGTCACCGTGACCTACTTTTGAAATTTTATGGCTTTAATCAAATATTTCAGGCACTAATTGGTTTAGAATCATCAAACTTTGTCAGTTGATGCATCTTGGGTCCTTGAAGTAAGTTGAATGAAAAGCAGGTCACCATGACCTACTTTTGAAATTTTATGGCTCTATTCAAATATTTCAAGCACTTATTGGCTTAGAATCATTAAACTTTGTCAGTTGATGCATCTTCGGTTCTTGGAGTATGTCAACTTACATGTAGGTCATCGTGACCTACTTTTGAAATTTTATGGCTCTATTCAAATATTTCAAGCACTTATTGGCTTAGAATCATTAAGCTTTGTCAGTTGATGCATCTTGGGTGCTTGGAGTATGTCGACTGAAAAGTAGGTCACTGTGACCTGATCAAACATTTTTCAGCTACTAATTGGCTTAGAATCATCAAATATTGTTAGTTGATACATCTTGGGTCCTCAAAGTATGTCAACTGAAAAGTAGGTCACTGTGACCTACTTTTGAAATTTTATGATTATAATTATATATTTCGGGTACTAATTGGCTTAGAGTCATCAAACTTTGTCAGTTGTTGCATCTTGGGTCCTCGGAGTATGCCAACTGAAAAGTAGCACTAGGTCAACATGATCTACTTTTGAAATTTTATGGCTTTATATAAATATTTCAGGTACTATTTGGCTTAGAATTATCAAACTTAAATAGTTGATGCATCTTGGGTCCTTGGAGAAAGACGTGATAAGTAGGTCCCCATGACCTACTCTCAGGTATACTAATTGGCTTAAAATCATCCTAGGTTCTCAAAGTGTTTTATCTAAAATGCAGGTAATGATGACCTACTTTTGGAATTTTAAGACTTTATTTAAATATACAGAATACTTAGAGGCTTCAAGTAGAAGTGATGCTGGTTATACAATTTATGAGAAGGGCGATTCAAGGCCCTTGGGCCTCTTGTAAATTGTTCAAATCATGACCCTGGGTGTAGGGCAGGGCCACAATAGGGAATCAAGGTTTATTAGCTCACGTGAGCTGAAAGCTCAAGTCAGCTTTTCTGATTACCTGTTGTCCATCTGTCTGTCCCTCCCTCCGTCTGTCCCTCCATCTGTAAACTTTTCATATTTTTAAATTCTTCTCAAGAATTGCTGGGTCAATTTTAACCAAAGTTGGTACAAAGCATCCTTGGGTAAATTGAAGTTTAAAATGTTAAAATGAAGGGCCAAGCCCCCTTACAAGGGGAGATAATAAAAAAAAAAAATAGTGTGGGGTCATTGAAAATCTTCTTCTCAAGAACCACTGTGCCAGAAAAGCTGAAACTTATGAAACTTATGTGGAAGCATCCTGGGGTAGTGTTGATTCTAAATTGATAAAATCATGACCCCCCCCCCTTTGGGGTTAAGTGCTGGGCCACAATGGGGAATCCAATTTTTACATTGAAATATATAGGAAAACTCTTCTTCTCAAGAACCACTGGGCCAGAAAAGCTGAAACTTATGTGGAAGCATCCTGGGGTAGTGTAGATTCTAAATTGTTATACCCCCTGCAAACAAAGTTTGGGAGGGGGGGGTTATTTTGGAATCAGCATGTCCATATGTCTGTCTGTCTGTCTGTAGACATGATTTCATCCGGACCTTTTCTGAGAGACTATTGCATGGATTTGTCTGAAAATTTGTACAGTCATTATTCACCATATGAAGGCGTGCACCTGATGTTTTCATCATAATTGGATAATTCTG